TATTTGTCGACATAGCGTACATATTTGGTTCAAATCGGTTAATATATTTGTTCCAATGAGTCTAAATACTTACAGTGAACATGTAAGACTCAATCTATGCCTTTAATTAGAGATGAAGATGTGTGGTCATGATTTAACTTTTTTTATTTTAATTATTTAAATAATATTTAGACTATTTGACCGTTGACTATTGACCATTGACTCCGACATTGACCGTTGAATTTCGGCGAGAACCGTTGACTTTCACGTTAACTGTTGACTTCTGACGTTGGCCGTTGACCTAGTATACATTATGTATGGAGTAAATATGCATTCAATGATTTGAACTAAATATGCATTTGATATGAATTGGATATACAATCCTTATTTACTAAATATGCACCAATAACATCAACTAAATATGCACTATTTATGAACTAAATATGCACTATGTATGTAGTAAATGAGCATTTTGTATAAACTAAATATGCACCGAAAATATGCAATTCAATGTGTATTTTATATAATTAATTTAAATATAATGATTATTATTTTTATTATATAATTTTTATTATATAATTAATGTAAATTTAAATTGATTAATATGATTCATTCATCTACACAAATAAATAACTATGGTTAGACCTCACATGAACTAAATATGCACTTTAATGATCTAAATATGTATTTCGTATGAACTAAATATGCATTATGTATATAATTAATTTAAATATAATAAATATGCACTATAATGAAATAAATATGCATTTCGTACGAACTAAGTATGCGTAATGAATGAACTAAATAAGCATTATGTATTACATTAATTATATATTAAAAAACAAAAAAAATATTATATTAAGTTAATTATAGAATAAATATTCAAAAATAATATCAACTGAGTATGCACTTTTTATGAACTAATTATACACTACGTATGATCTAAATGCGCATTTTGTATTAACTAATTATGCAGTAAAAATATGCAATTAAATGTGCATTTTATATGACTAATTTAAATATAATAATTAATATTTTCATTAAGTGAAAATTTCAATTGATTAATATGATCTGTTTGTCCCATTTTTGTTGCATTTGTTCATGTTTATTTTATCTTTCTTTTTTCCCCGTATTAGGTCGTTTCATTAGTTTTTAGTCCGTTTTGTGTTTTATTATGTGTTTTCCTTCATTTTGAGTCCTTAGGTGTTTTTCGTTTGTTTTTCCAGTTTTCTTCGTATTTTGTAGTTTTTGGTGGGTAGGTCGGGAGCTTCGGGTGAACTTTATCTTCAGCAAAAGTTTGTTTCAAGTGCATAAATTAATAGAGGAGTTCGCTAGCGACGCATAGGAAAAAACAGAACTCAATTCCGAGTTCGGACGAGCCCAAAGGAGCCCGAAACGCGTAGACGAACCAGGAGCCCTGCGCACCGCGCGGCACTGACCCCCTCCGCGGCGCGAAACAGCCCCATGTCGTGCCACACACTTCCTCCACGCCGCGGTGCACGTCACGGACAAGCAGAGACTTCCATCTTCCCCAGCGCCACGCCATGATGGTCCCCGCCGCGGCAGATGTGCGCCTTGCGCCGTGGCACTATGTCACGCCCGTGACACCCCGCTGCTTATAAATATCAGATTGGGACTTCAACACAGATATTCTCTCCCCTTCTGGGAGATGAACCCTAGCCCGAAAAATACACGAAATTCCTTTTCTCTTCCCCTCTTCTTCTTCTTCATTTTTCTTCCTCTTTTCATCTTTCTCTTCCATTTTTCTTCTTCTTCTTCTTCTTCTTAGTATTTAGGAATTAAGCTTGTATTTTGGATTCAACAACTGGAATTTGGATTTATTGTAAGTTTTTCTCTCTTTATTAATTCATGAATAATGGTTAGTTTGAGAGTAATGATTATGTGTGTTGAATTCGTTATAAGTAGCTAATTTTAATTGCTAGGGATAGGTGATGATTATTCTTGTTTGAATTGTACTTGTCGGGCTTGATTTATTCATGCTTATGTGAGTTGATATAATTCAGAATTGATGAATTTGTGCTGGATTGATTGATATAATCGAAGAGTGACACTTCGATCTTGCGATTGGAAATGATTGAATGTTAATTTGTCGAGTTAGGATTTGTCAATTCTATATGATTAGTTGATTAATCACCTTCTAGTTAATTAGCGACTTTTAGAACCGAAAGGGGAGAATTCGTAGACCTAGGCTCGCATGAGGTAGATGATTTCGTAATTGAATAGTCTATAGGTTTTGGATTGAAATACGTGCTTGTCGATGACCCGTCCTTTGTTACGAAAAGTTATTGAGATTGGGATAATTGGCTAATTAGAGTGTGTAGGATTTATTTTCTTTTTATGTGTGATCGATACCAAAGCTGAATTCCGAACCGCCTTGCTCGAGAGATCGACCCGGGAAACGAATCCTTGATTCGATACTTGGTAAAATATAACAATTTGTACACAACATGATCCATTGATGTACACGAATAAATGTGTATGATTGGACCTCACAAGAATTAAATATGCACTATGATGAACTAAATATGCATTTCTTATTACCTAATATGCACAATAAATAAACTAAATATACATTTCTTATTCTTAATTAAGTATGCATTATTTAAAATTAAAATATGCATTGTGTATTATTTTAATATGCACACTAAATAAACTAAATGTGCATTAATTATATAATATAAAACACAAGGGCCAGAGTGCAATTATTTAGTTTTAAACAATTTACAGATTAACTACAAGGATCAAATTACAATAAACTTTAATATACCGAAATTACAACAAGGTCCAATTCCTTCTATACAATTCCCGATCGAGATTATTGCTCTGATTTTCGATCCCAACCTGCAATTTCTGAGTGCCGCCGCTAAAATCCCTCTTCTTCGCCGTCGAAGCTATCAATCCTTGAGCTCTCGAACAGCATTGAACTCCTGTTCGATGAACACAATATACTGAAATCTCGAACGCGTTGGGGAGGAGAATCTCGATGTTCTCCTCGCCTCCGTCTCTGCCTCCGTCTCCGTCTCCGTTGTCGCTGGGTTTTTAGGTCGTCCTCTCTGCATCCTCCTTCACAAGGCATTCTCGTTGTCATCCGACTCGCGCCTCGTTGTACAAGGTCTGGTTGCATAAATCGGTCGCCTCATCGGACAACAGGTTTCCAGTCGCTGGCGAAGAGCTCCAGGCGCTGGGGGCCGATGGTAGCAGCGGGGGGAGGTGGACTTCGTGAGACGCCATGGCCAAGGGAGCATACGAGGTTGACCGGCCAAAAATTTGCCCATGGCCGACGGTCAACGGTGGTCAACATCATTAAGTTTTTTTTATTATATAATAAATTTAAATATACTAATAATAATTTATTATTATTTAATTAAGGTATTTTTCAATTGATTAATATGAGTCATTAATCTTGTAGTGCCTTGGTTTTCAAAATGTCCTTTTCATATATTTTAATTTTTTTTTATATTATTGTTGCTATTATCATCAATTATAGTATAATTATTATATTTATTATAATTAATTAACAGGAAATTAATCGAGTATAATTCGTTATTTTTAATTAAGCATAACTCAATTTATTTAGATAAGCATAATTAAATATTTAATCATTTATATAAGTGAATGGTTAGCTAATTTATTTAATTATATATATATATAAGAATAAAGTTAAATTAATTTTGAGCAAGAATTTCCCGCCAAAATAATTAATGATCTTCTTAAAAAAGAATTATCACACATATTTCAAACAAGAAAAAATCATTAATTGCATGATTATCTCGAGACCTGTCGTAGTCTTTATCGTCCCCAACGTCGAGCGTACTCACGTTACTTCGCGGGCCACGCATCTCATCTGCCGCGTGGTAGACTCGCTCGGCCAATCGAGCAACTCTCTTGTGCGCTCTATGCGCGCGACTGTAGGTTGGTTAACCGAATTAGAATTGTACCGGAATAATTGGTTTATTTGGTTGGTTAACCGAATTAAGCAAAATAAATGAAATAAAATATTATTTATATTTTAATAATATATTTAATATTTTCAATATTTATCTTTTATATTTTTTTTTCTTTTTGCTAAACTAAATAATATTTTTATATGAAAATATATATATCTGACATTGAATGTAAATAATTTAATTGAAAGTAATAACAGATAATCGAGTCGAAATATACAATTTCGAACCAAAAAATTTAGTTTTTGCAGTGCGAGTATTTTTTTTATGCGATTTAAAATGCGTGCAATTCAACTAACATTATTGTATGATTATTAAATATTTGATAAATTATAAAATTTATCCATGAACTAAATTGAAATTTATTAAATTTATAAAATTACAATTACGCCCTAGTGAATAATAAAATTCTCAAAAATCATCTCTCCCCAAATTCATTTCTGGCCGTATTATTCTCATATGGTTATTATGGCTAACGACGCGCGATTACTGCATCTGTCGGGGGTTGTCCGCCGGTCCAGTCACCGGATTGTGAGAACAGGAAGTCGGAGAGTCCGATTTTGAGTTCAATTTTTGACGGGGCTAGTCGGTATAGTTTGATCGATTAGGGTTCCAGCCATTAGAGTAGAGTTGTCCCCGGTCATCTGCGGCTGCAAGTGGTAGGTGTCAGAGGTAGTCGAGTGGTCTGATCTCTACCGGAGGGTACAGTCTTCAAGTTCGGCGGTGGCGGTTGAGAAGGACGCTGGTAGAGGCTGAACTGGCGAGTGACTGGAGGCAGGCAGTGGGCGCCGGGTGGAGTGGTGTTACCACTTATCAATGGAGCAGATTGCGACTGTGTGTGTAAGTGTGTGTGTGTGTGTGAGAGAGAGAGAGAGAGAGAGAGTGGTGTGGGTGGGTTGGGCCCACTGGTGGGGTGTGTGTGTGCTAGCGTGAGTTGGATAGGTCCGGTAGGTTATGCGACTCACTTCTTAGTGGGTCTGATGGACTATAGATTAAAATATCCAAAATTTTTTTTTTTTTTATAGGTAGAGGTGTATTGTCTAATCTGATAGCCAAATTTAATCTTATTTCTTTCACTGACCACTATTCTCACCGGTGTTTTACATTCAAACTAACACCCATCAATTCCTTAACACCCATCAATTCCTTAACTGCAGGTGGTGCAGTAGGATAAAGTTGACACTCGGGATCATATCCTACAAATCTTTGATAACTTATCAAGTGGGTATAGGTGAGGACTACACTTATCCATATGTGAAAGGTCATATCGTTCAAGGTTCACAAAAATGCACTACCACAACAAAAATCTATAGTCGTACAATATAAAGAAACAATAATAGCATCTAAGGTCTACAATGATCCCCTTTAGGACTGCCACACCTGTAAGTACACATGTAGTCATAGTCTCCTCTTAATCAAATACCACATTTAGTTCCTCTGACTTGTTTTCAAAAACTGTGAAAACGAAAGTCACATTTGAATAAATAATCAAAGCCCCAAGTTCGAGAGAAGTTTGCGCCATCTAGGCGTCTCCTCGTCAAAAATGTAGGTCAAAGGGGAAACCAGAACCCCACTACCTCCAATCTGCACAACAAACATATGCAAAATGAACTGGAGAAAAAAAAATAAATAAACAGACAATTTTTCCTTTCACNATATATATATATATATATATATATATATATATATATATATATATAAAGAAAAACTGAAACTGGGAGGAGTTGACCTAAGACAGGACCTCTGTTAATAAACAAATGTACAATCTCAAAAAAAACAAGAAAATCTACAAAAGACAGTTCCAATCTCCACCATTTCTATGAAATCCTATAATGAACCATAGCGAAAACCACTTATATGTGGATTCCTGTATGCACGTTCAGTACAATTTAACGAAAATTCACTCACCGCCCTAAGCTGCTGAACAGACTTGTAAAGAGCTTTCTTCGGTACACAAATAACTATAGCATAGTAGTCTGCAGCTACTCCCCCGTCACGCTTACAGAAAACTGGGCTTACAGTGGGCCCCTGCATCCGCAAACATGACACAACAAACATTTGATATTAGATGAAAAAATAATATGAAATAGGAAGAGTCGTTAAATCACAATTTTACACAATCCAGAGATTAGATATATGCACAAAGGACAAGTTGAAGACCTGCAAACCAGATAGAGACGGTTGGCTAAGCACACGCTCAGCCACTACATCTGCACTACTTCCCCTCATGTTAGCCGTTACCTGAAAATAAAAAATAATGGAAGACATAATTTACTAGAAAATGGCAGCCAAACTATATAAGCTACCATGAAATTGTCCTAATCATACAAAGCAGTTTTACCTTTTAAAATTACAGATACCACCATGCATTTGTTTATCTTAACAACCCTCAAGACAGGGCATTCGTAGGGTAAATACAATACCTCAAGTGGATGTTTGTATCGCTTTAAATTGGTATTTGTGATTTTGTAAAGATAATTGGAGCCGTTTTCTGGTTATGTTTAACTCTGGGGGGTATCTTCTGTAATTATCCAAAGAATTAGTGGTCCGCACCGTGAACTGACCAGCAGCCCTCAAATGCGCCTCAAACCTTTCAAGCATTTCATGGGTGATATCAAGGACGCCTTTTCTGTGGATCAGTGACCTTCTGCTAGCAACAAGAACAGCCTGAAATGGACAATGCAATGAGATCAGAAGATACAGAATAATCAAAACCATTTTTCAAAGGAGATCTTGTTTTTTAAAAGGACAGCTTCAGATGAGATCTAAAATACATTTTTTATGTCTTAGATAATATTAGAACTGAACAACAGAAATGCAGCATTTACCTGACTTTCCAAGATAACTCCGCCTTCAATTTCTTTCAAGTTATTTTCTCTCAATGTTGTTCCACTACTCACAAGGTCCACAATAGCATCAGCTATCCCCATCTAGAGGTAAAGGAGGATTAGAGGAAACAGAGTTTTTAAATTTAAAAATATTTGTCATAAGGGTCATCTGTAGGTGTACAGATCACTTGACAGCCCACACGATAAAAACTAGTAAGTTACAATATAGGTTGCAGTAATGTGACAGTTAAGAAAACCATGAAACCTAGCATTCAAGTAGAAACACACACAATTAGAAAACTTCAAAAACAGTATGTATGGAGTCAGCACTATCAGACTATATTCAGTCAAATTATGATTTATTGATTCTACTGCCAATTTACACATAGCAGAAATGTGCAAATGTCAGGAAATGTGATTACTGTGGCGTTGGTCCAAATAAATTACTGACGAACTAAAATAGCATAGCAAGTAAAAGGCATCTCCAGGTTCTTCCTCAGACACACCTACCTATACCAACTGAGAATTGCCAGAGTCCTACATAAATATCTTTCTTAACCATCTAAATTGCATCCCATATATCACAAATTTTTGGCTTCTGATCTGATATCATCGACTTATTTGTAAAAGGATACACCAGCACATGATTTAGTTGATTGATTTATCATGCAAGCACTGCCAGCAACAATTGCTATGCTAACAGGAAAAAAGAAAATGATGAACCGAATGAAAGGAAAAATAAAAGGAGACCTTAACTAAATAGAGCCAAACATAGTTTTCCCAGGACGTAACATGACAGCATTTCCCGTTAACATCCAACATTATTATAACGTTTCACCTTTACCTTAAATTGAATATTTCAGCACCTTATTTAAATATTCTAATGTACGTATAATTATTCATCAGAAAGTCATATTTATAAGCTTTGCATTAGTGAGCTTCTCCTGGATTTCAAGAGTGTTATGCAGCCTACTCTTCACACAATGGATGATCAAGTTAAAGGCATCTTGATTGCAAGTTAAATTATTTACCAAATAATATTATGTCTTCTTCACCTTTACAAGAAGTAAACTATTCACTGTAATAAGAACTGAGAAGATAAAAGGAAAATGCTAGAAGTAATCTATGACATCTAAAATGAACCAAAAACCATACATCTAACAATTATCTTTAAGGAGCATGTACTATGTATAAAAATAATCCAATACTTACAGCAGGAGCAGCTTCCAGAGCTCCATCAGCAGTCGAAAAGGTGACATGTTCCAATCCATTTTCCTTCATAAACTTAGTACCCAACTGCAAATTTTCNAAAAATACTGTTCATTTTCAATGCAATAAAATATAAATACAAAAGAAAAAAAAATAATGGCAAAATAATCTTACATATGTAAATCCGGTGGCAACTCTTAGAGGTTTCTCAGATGTCCACTGTGGCATCTGAGCCAGCTCTTTCAAAGAATTTATGTTCTCAAATATGCCATACTTGGGGATCTGATACAACAAATAAAATTATATTTCCCAACAATACAAGTGAGAAGAGCATGTGTGCTAAAAGGGTTCTCAATTTTCTAGAGTTCTGATCTCTAACTTACTGCCAGTGATAAACGACAGTCCCCATAGTCAAGAGCTTCATGAACAAGAATGAGATCTTCATCACCCTACAATAATTGTCTGACTAAGGAGAATCGAGTTTTGAGGGAGAAATTAGTAGAAGAAACGTAAATATCAAGTCAGCATGCTGGGTGAGCGTGAAGGGTGCACCAGTAATAATTGACTATGTTAAGAACAACATAGGTGCACCAGTAATAATTGACTATGTTAGGAACAACATACGTATACTTAGAAACAGATAACAAAAAATAATGGCCAACGACATACAGCATAAACTTCAACTTCTGAACATCAGACTGAAACTTCACATTCATGAGTTTAGTAGTAGAGTATGACATATGAATGGAATTTTTTTGTTTGGTAAACTCAAGCACGAATATCTAAAACTCTTTCAATAATATTGAAGAAAACGAGATACCTGTCACGCTAATTACGCCACATATTAATAGAGTAGGCCATTCGAAGACCCTAAACTCATACCTGCCCATATTCGTTTACAGTGTCCAATCCAACAATTCCAAGGTCCAAATCTCCGGATACCAGTTTCCTCACGATGTCTTTTGGCCGTTGAAACCAAACTTCTAAATTTGCAAGCTGCAACATCATCACACAGGCTATATTTAGCAACACATATGTAATACAAATCCACTTAACTATATCAAAAAAAGGATATGAAGACATAAGCAAGAGTACATAAATATATCAATCTGATGATATTTTCCATGGAAATAGGATAATTCGATCTTATGTGGCATTGCAGATGTAAAATCAAGAACCGGTGTACATTGAAAGGCCCATAAACAATATACAGAAGTTATCCTCCTGCATTGGCATAACGGTGCTTGGATTCCCTTTTTCAGTTTTTTCTGACTACATTCGAGCCCAAGTACTCGAGTAATGACCCCAATTGATAATAGAAGACCTTAAAAGGCTGACAACTCATGGACCAACACTTTAAATCAGCAAAAGCACAGCAAAGAATGAACAGATAAGCCCATTGCAACAGCTAAATACAACTCTAAAGGCTTAGGCACGCAAATGAGCGGCACACCTGTGGAATTTCCGCAACATACTGCCGCAGATTCACTTGTTTCACCGATAATTGACAATCCTGCACACAGAATTTGACCGAGTTAACCCAGAAACTGGACACACACGATAAAAGAAAAATACAGTCGACAATTGATGGATTGGAATTACAAAGATATAGGAGAAATGCCTTGAGAAGATCAAGAGTGTCCACTGCCATTCTGCCTTTACTGGGCAGCCCGAGTCGAACTTCATTCCTCTCGTGCTTCTTACCCACATTCCCGTTAACCACAGTAGCTGGCGATGCCACCGAGCAACATGAGACGAATTTCAGGGAGGAGGAATCGCTCAAACGGTACGATGGTGTTTGGAATGACGGGGTTGAACCAAGCGGGCGTTGCAGGAAAACTGTTCGTACCAAAGCCATTTCTACGAATTTATCCTCGCTCTCGCACTCTGTCACTGTGGAGAAACTGTTGAACCAGGCGATCTCCAACCGTCCACCGCCAGTATTCTTTCTTATTTATTTTCAGTTTCAACCTTCAAAAGCACATAATTACACTTCTCGCATATATAGAGGTTGATGGCATGTTTGTAATTTGTTTACAAAAATTTTAAGTGAATTTTTTTTGTTAACTATAGTTAATTTGCAAAAATATGATATGATTAGCTGTTTTAGTGAGAATTTAGATTTATATTAAAATAATATTTAAAATAAAATAATTATAATTGATTGGATGTAAAAGTATGAGAGCGATAATACGAATTGATGATTAGTTATATGAATAGTGAATTAAAGTATATGTCATGTGTAAGAATGATTGGATGACATTATTTAATTATATTGATAATATTGAAGATATTGGAGTTGAGTTAAAAATTGAGTTAGATTTTGAGTGAAATGAAATTTTGAGTGGAACTTTTGTATACAAACATGCTCTGAACTTATAATTATATTAGCAAAATACATACTACCCAATTAATTAAAAAAATAAAAATAAATAAATAAATAAAACTAAAATCCATTGAAATTAGAAGATACCTTCTATTCCAAAAATTTCAGTTGTATTCCAAACAAGTATAAACACGTTACAAGTTAAAAAAACGAGAAGATAACTAAGCAAAATAAAAAAGAAAACTAAAATTATAAATTAAAGAAAATTACCAATCTAATAATGAATTCAAATTTTTGTGAAACGAAGAATTGCATTAATATAAAAGCCTCAGAGAGGATACAAGCTACCAGTGTCCAAATATAATAGAAATCACAACTTACAAAATACAAAACTACAGACAACTAGAATAGAGAACTAAGCAAGACTCAAAACACTACAAAATAAAAGGTATGAGAACCAAACAGGGTTGGCCTAGAAGCAAATGAGGGGCTAGAAGTTAATCCATTGGGCAGTATAAATTCTGAGGCCCTGGGATGCATCTTGAGTCAAACAAATAACATTCTAGCTACTGAGAGGATATCCTAGCTAGAAGAAAATTAGAAAAAACTAAGAAACACTAGTGAATTCAAGCCATTCAGAGCAAGCTGCATCAACAATGGCTTTCTCAGTTTGCCATTGATGTTTGAAGACCCAAAGGTTCCTAACTTTCCACAACGACCATAGAATGTAGGTGGTTAGTTGGATCCTTTCCTTAGCTTCTTTGTTCATATGCATTAAACAGACCTCCTTCCACCAAGACTTGAAGCAATGAATGTTGTTCTTCAAACTAGTCCAGCTTATTGGGGCTTGCTTCCAAACCAATTTGGCTCTAGGGCAGTTGAATAGCATATGCTCAGTGCTCTCATCTTTTTCACAAAGAGCTTTGCAAACATTCTCCAACTTCATCCCTCTCTTGTTAAGGTTGTTCTGTGTTGGTAGGATCCCAGAGAAACACTTCCAGATGAAGTGTTTGATCTTTCTCTTGGTCTTGATCTTTCAGCTGATATTTCTAACCTTTTTGATCCAAGAAGCTTGACTGCTGGTTTAAGGGAAATCCAAGCCTAGGATTTTACTATTCAGTAGAGCCTCATAGGAGGAGGCCACAGTGAAGTTCCCTTTTCTGTTAAAGCTCCATGCAAGCCTGTCTTTCTGGAATTTGTTAAGAGTTCTAATTTTTAGGATGGCTTCACAGTCCTCTGCTTTGAAAGTTTGTCTGGGGAGTCTCTCATTCTAGATTTCAGTGTCTGGAATAAGCAACTCTGCAACCTAAGTGAGTGAGGTGTCAGCAGGATTATCTCTTCTGCTTGGTTTGTGTTTTGGGATATCTGGGATCCAGGGGTGGTCCTAGATTCTTGTATCCATGCCATCCTTGATAATCACCAAAAGCCCCTGTTTAAATAAAGGGCAAACAATCATCCAGCATCTCCATAGCCATGAGCAAGTCTGAGGAGGTTCAGTGTCTATGAAAGAGCAGTTAGGAAAATATTTCCGTTTTAAAATTCTGCTCATTAGAAGATGTGGCTTGGTATGAACCCTCCATAACTGTTTAATGATAAGAGACTTGTTGAACAACTTTAGGTCAGTGAAGCCTAAACCTCCATTGTCTGTGGGAATTGAAATGTGGTTGCATTGCTTCTAGTGCAGCCCTTTCTCTTGGTTTCCTCCTTTGGACCACCAAAAGTTTGACATCAATTTTAAAGATTTCAGCACAAACTCCAGAAGATAACAAGAAACATGACATCACAAAGTTTGGTAGGGCACTCAGGACAGCCTTTATCAGGACTTCCTTACCTGCAGTGGATAAGAACTTGTTTTTCCAGCTTAGTATCCTGTTTTTCACTACTTCAACAACAAAGTTAAATGTTTCTTTATTAGAGCGGCCAATACCAAGAGGGAGACCAAGGTATTTGGTAGAGGTTGTTATTTGAATGCCATTCAACAGGGAACATATGGTAGTTTTCACAGAGGGAGGAGAGTTTTTGCTAAAGAAAACTGAGGATTTGGAGAGGTTTATTTTTTGCCCAGAGCAAAGGTGGTAAATGTGAAGGATGTTCAAGATTTCCATAGTTTGAGAAGGTGAGGCTCGACTGAAAAGTAAAATGTCGTCAACAAAAAAGAGATGGGTTATAAAGGGGCCAGAATGGGAGAGCTTTATACCTGTCAGGGAGTTTTGGGCAACAGATTTGTTAATGAGGCAAGAGAAAAGTTCAGAAACAATGATGAAAAGGTATGGGGAAATTGGGTCTCCCTGTCTCAGCCCCCTAGAGGGAGAGACATGTCCACACTTTTGGCCATTGATATTGAAAGAGAAGCTAGTGAAAGTGATACAGGCCATAATCCAATTTATAAAAGTCAAGTGAAATCCCATTTTAATCATGGCAGCTTTAGTGCAAGACCATTCAATTCTATCAAAGGCTTTTTCCATATCGAACTATTCAGTAGAGCCTCACTAGAGGAGGTCACAGTGAAGTTCCCTTTTCTGTTAAAGCTCCATGCAAGCCTGTCTTTCTGGAATCTGTTAAGAGTTTAGATTTTTAGGATGGCTTCACAGTCGTCTGCTTTGAAAGTTTGTCTGAGGAGTCTCTCATTCCAGATTTCAGTGTCTGGAATAAACAACTCTGCAACCCAAGTGAGTGATGTGTCAACTGGATTATCTCTTCTGCTTGGTTTGTGTTTTGGGATATCTGGGATCCAGGGGTGGTCCCAGATTCTTGTATCCATGCCATCCATGATAATCACCAAAAGCCCCTGTTTAAATAAAGGACAAACAGTCATCCAGCATCTCCATAGCCATGAGCAAGTCTGAGGAGGTTTAGAGTCTATGAAAGAGCAGTTAGGAAAATAATTCTATTTTAAGATTCTTCTCATTAGAAGATGTGGCTTGGTATGAAATCTCCATAACTGTTTAATGATAAGAGACTTGTTGAACAAATTTAGGTCGGTGAAGCCTAAACCTCCATTGTATGTGGGAATCGAAATGTGGTTCCATTGCTTCCAGTGCAACCCTTTCTCTTGGTTTTCTCCTTTGGACCACCAGAAGTTTGACATCAATTTTGAGATTTCAGCACAAACTCCAGAAGGTAACAGAAAACATGACATCACAAAGTTTGGTAGGGCACTCAGGACAGCCTTTATCAGGACTTCCTTACCTGCAGTGGATAAGAACTTGTTTTTCCAACTTAGTATCCTGTTTTTCACCGCTTCAACAACAAAGTTAAATGTTTCTTTTTTAGAGCGGCCAATACCAAGAGGGAGCCCAAGGTATTTGGTAGAGGTTGTTATTTGAATGCCATTCAACAGAGAACATATGGTAGTTTTCACAGAGGGAGGAGAGTTTTTGCTAAAGAAAACTGAGGATTTGGAGAGGTTTATTTTTTGCCCAGAGCAAAGGTGGTAAATGTGAAGGATGTTCAGGATTTCTAGAGTTTGAGAAGGTGAGGTTCGGCTGAAAAGTAGAGTGTCGTCAGCAAAAAAGAGATGGATTATAGAGGGGCCAGAATGAGAGAGTTTTATTCCTGTCAGGGAGTTTTGGGCAATAGATTTGTTAATGAAGCAAGAGAAAAGTTCAGAAATAATGGTGAAGAGGTATGGGGATATTGGGTCTCAAGAGACATGTCCACACTTTTGGCCATTGATATTGAAAGAGAAGCTAGTGGAAGTGATATAGGCCATAATCCAATTTATAAAAGTCAAGTGAAATCCCATTTAATTATGACAGCTTCAATGCAAGACCATTCAATTCTATCAAAGGCTTTTTCCATATCGAGCTTAAGAGCCATAAAGCAATTATTTCCTGATTTATGCCTATTTAGGTAATGAATGGCCCCCTGTGCAATAACAACATTATCTAAAAAAGTTGTCTATCAGGGATAAAGGCTGCTTGATTATCACTAATGCAAACACAGAGGCAGTTTTTAAGTCTGGAAGCAAGAATCTTGCATAACTGCTCTCTTTTCGAGTTAAGGAAAATTAACCAAAAAAAAGAAGAAGAACATAAACATAGAACCCCATCTCTTCTCTTGAGATATACAATACAATTATTCCATTCCCAAAAAACCTTTGTTCGAAAGCAAAAGAAAAAAAAAACCCCCGACATTTGATATTCACAAGATCAAATACATGAGAGAGTAAATATCACAAAAACCAACAATCATCATTACAATAGTTGAAGAACATTACGAAAACAACAATTCGTCAAATAATAATAATAATAATAATAATAATAATAATAATAATAATAATAATAATAATAATAATAATAACTACTTAATTAATACATACAACTAGATGTTATAAAAAAACTAAAAACCCAATTTCATCATAGACGTATATCGAGAAATATGCCAATAGCCTCTCAGACGAGATCTCAAACGAAACATAACTTGAACTGACGGTGGTGGTCTCTCTAATCGGTTGAACGGTGCGGGATCGAGTGTGGCGGGATTGAGTGCAGTTGGGTGTACGGGAATGAGATTGTTTGCTACGATCACGATCTCGATCCCTGTCCCTATCTTAGTTATTGCGGTCTCTTTTCCACTCACCATCTCGTTCGTCGCGGTCTCTTCTCCGTATTGGGATCTATGAGGATCTCGTTATGTACAAGTCACGAATTCAATAGCAAACGTAAATCTATGCGCAACGGATCTAAAGGTTTGACGTAAAGAACTTACGGCTTAAAATTTATGTAGATTTGGTTGACCACGAACAGTTGACCACAAATCACGTCTTGGGTTGCACGAACAAGATCAGATCAAAACTGGATCAAATAGGTGCAAACAGATGAAGACGGATGTTGCAGCCTGGGAGCTTCCGGCGGCGTGTGCGGGCGCGTGTGGCGTCAGACGGCGGCGATGGAAAGCTTTATGCTGTGCGCCTCAATCGGACCTCCGGTTAGTTCTGTAGGATAAAATATATTTCATCTCAGTTTATTTACAGATCTTCTACCGTATTACTCAATACACCCTTCTTCAACTTGTACCAGTGGAGCAACAAAAAGAAGATAAAGCTCGAATGAGATCTAGAGAGAGAGAGAGAGAGAGGCGTGGGGCGTGTTTCACGTGAGATGTGAACTCTGTTCTCTTCTCATGAGCTTAATGATGTATATATAGAGCTATACTAGGGACCCTTAGGAGATTAGTAAAAGGGGCTC